ATCTAAACGTTTTCTAACAATATTTTTAAGCATTTCCACCAGCGAGCACTCCCCTCATTGAAAGCTCCCCAGTTCCGCCAAAAAAAAAAAAAAAAAAAGGATTTCTAAACAGAGATAAGTCTACACTGGCAGTTTTAGAGCTTGTTGAGTGTTGGTAGGTTTAAAACATAGTGTCAGGCTATCAGCCTATTCCAGACAGAAAAACTGTTCCTGTTCCAGTAGAATAATTAATTTAAGTGGAAATAAAATGTTTTGCCCCTGTAACACTTAAATCCTTAAATGGGAAGACACATCAACTTCATAATATGAGCAGAGGGTAAAGAAGTTTCTAATTTCTTTCCCAAGTGACACATTTTTTCTACCTAAACCATAGCAAGATGTCTTAGGTTCACATTAGCAAGACACCGGAGACAGTTATCATGTATTTTTTCCTGTGTTTCATTTTTCCTCTGTAGCCCTCTGCTGCTTCAGTAGACATTTTTGGTAGAAATACATATTACTTTGCTGTGTAAGATTTTTAAATGTCTATGTTCAGCTATTACTCATAAATAGCAATAGAATATCTTTTGCCCTAACCTTTTTTTTTTTTTTTTTTAACTGAACAGCTGTGTAGATAATATCTCAGAGTACAATACAACTTTCCAATGAAGGGCCACCCTGAGTAAGAGTAATTACCATTAGAATTCACCCATTGATTTTTTTTTCACATTTTTATCATCTATTTGAATTTTTTTTTCTTTATTTTGGTGGAACCTTTTATTTTGGAGATTGAACTTGAATTTCTTTTTGTGATCTGTATAATCAGTTGAGTAAATATTTATCAAATACATGGTAGGCATTGTGCTGAGATAACACAACTGAATTTTATATTCAAGGAATTTGTAGCATATTTATGTATACTAAATGTTTTTGGTATAGTTGATATATATCAGTGACATTTAAAATACATAGTTCCTGTATTTGGTGGGGATGGGTAGGGAGAAATGGCTCTTCTGTTACACCTATCTTCAGATTTTTCCTTCAGATTTGTGTGTGGGGGTGTGTGCGCGTGTGTCTGTCTAATGTGTTTTGGTTTCAGTATGACATGTCAGAAATCCAATTTGTTGGCATTGTGCAAATTAAATAGCTGGATGATTCACTGCCTCTTTGACTAAATTTTAGTTAAACCAACCAGAGTTGTTTCTGTGTAGACAAAGTTGCAGCATCACTTGTGGGCAGCACGAATAAAAGCCCACAAAAGCCCACGTACCCCTCATTTTCAGTTATATTTCTTAGGGTGAAACTAGAAGTTCAGGTCCAGTTTCCAGCTGTCAATGAGTAGATCAAGTGAATGGTTCCTTTAAGATTGATTCATTGAAGCCTGGAGAGACTGTTGGGAGCTCTTTAATGCCAGCTTTAAGTCGTTTAGAAAGTGGGTGTTGCTTTGACACTGTCTGCACCCAACGGTTACATTTCAGTGGCGTGGTGCATTATCATGAGGCATCCGACACTAATGCAAATTTGTGTTTGTCCATTGTTTTGACATCTTACCATCCTTCACTCTGGAGGGATATTGGAAAGTGAATTTGCAAATTATACATGAATGTTGATGAGATTTTACTCTGAGGTATAGTGTGAGAAGCAGATACTCTGGCTAAGTAAAGAAAGCACGTGCATCTTAACATTTCAAACATTATTTCATGTACAAGATAAAAAGTCGCAGGCTGCTCGGCCCTTACACAGTTATCAGAAAAAAATTTTGAGTATTTTTGTTTCATATTATTGTTTAAACATACTTGAAGTAAAACTTAGTTTCAAAATGTTCTTCCAGAAGTTAAAAAGTTAGTTCAACAATACTGTCCTGTAATTTAGGGTAAGAACGGTACCTTCAGGGAGTTTCTAGTCGTGTAAATTTATTCTGTTCCTAATAATGCTTTTTATTTCTTAAGAAATTTGGTAATTACTGAATTTGATAATACTTATTCCAGGAAATATTATATTGTGTTTTTCAATGTAAAAGTCATTATATATTTCAAATTTGATCAAAGTTCAGAATTTTAACTTGTTACTGAGTGGTATAGTCTATCAAGGTTGTATGTAGAGTTTTTCTGGATAGTCAGTGCTTCCTTAAAATGGCAAATTGCAGGGACCACCTGGTGTCATTTACTTTGATAATTTGAAGATTAAGGAGTAACTTAAAACATTGCCTGTGAAAATTTGGCACAATTCTTAGGTGATGAAATAGTAATACTCATTTTTTTCCCCTGACATGTTACAGTTCATTTTTCTGCCATTTTCTTTAAAAGCTGTCCTTACTGCTTTAGACATGACTTTACATCTACATATTAAACTGCTGGCATTCCACTGTCTTTGTCTAGGCACGTTGAGAACTATACAGTCCAATGCTGTTGTATTCTGCAGATTTCATTTTTTTCTTAACTTCTCTCAGCTCTGAAAGATTTTACGGCAGCTAAGCTACTCAGACAAAGGAAACCATTTAGGCAGTTTCAGTTTATGTTACATGTAAAGCAGATGCTTAATAAAATTAAGAATATAGTGAAGGCTCTCTTCTTCCGCACTTCACTTGTAACTATTATTTTCCTACGCAGAATGAATGTCTCTGACTGTTCACTTTCTAAACAGTAGAAGAGGGGAGAGGATCACCTCTGGCTGGCCTCCGCCCACGAGCAAGCTCACCCTGTACCTTTACTTCTGCAGGGCTTGCTTTCCGAAATCCTCCGGAAGGAAGAGGACCCCAAGACTGCATCCCAGTCTTTGCTGGTAAACCTTCGGGCTATGCAGAATTTCTTGCAGTTACCAGAAGCTGAAAGAGACCGAATATACCAGGATGAAAGGGAAAGGAGCTTGAACGCCGCCTCGGCCATGGGTCCCGCTCCGCTGATAAGCACACCGCCCAGCCGCCCGCCACAGGTGCCGTCTCCTCTTCTCCTTGACCTTCTTGTACCTTTCTTTTAAAAAAATTTAAAAAACAAAAGAAAGAACCTTGACAGATGCAGGTTTTTAAAAAACTCATATAGAGTTGCTTGAGGAAAATTTCATCCCAAATCGCTAATTCTGATACAAAAACAATATGCTACTCATTAGAAAGCAGAAAAAAATTGCTTTATATTGCTCCATTCTTTGGGGTTTTTTTTAAGGGATGAAAAGAGTCTTTAAGATAAAAACTAAAACTCAATACAAAAAAAAGAATAAAGTCGGTTTTATCCTACTAGTTTTAGAACTGCCATTTGAATAGTAAATAAATAAAAACAAGTCCATTTGTATTTACCGTTTACAGTGTGAACTGCAGCTGGTACAGTTACGCATCATCTCGTTTGTAGTCTTTCATTCTGAAATTTTATACAGCCCATGAAGGCGGCTTTAAGTGGGGCTAAGGAATTCAGTCTGTCTTCCTAGAAATGGGCACATTTTCTAAGTTTTTGGTTACCTGTAAGGAAGGAAAAATGTTGCCCTCCAGGGAATTTTGTGGCTGAACTTCTGTGTTGTTGTTCTTTAATTTTTATTTTTATTTGTACATGTTTACCTACATAATGATGGCATCCGTTGTGGGGAGTGGGTACGTGGCCACAGCACATCTTAATTCCTTTGATGCCCCCTTCCCCTCCCTCTCGCTCTTCCTTCCATCTCTGTCCTTTTCCTCATTTGTCCTTTGCTCATGTTTTCTATTGTATTATTTAAAACATCAAGTTTAGTAGTAGCCTTAGAATTATTATAAGAATTCAATACATTAATATAAACTCATAGATAAAAATTGGTGGGGGGCAATGCTCAAAGTCCACAAGCAGGTCATTTTGTTCCATGGTTAATTTGTGGCTTTCACAACCCTCAAAAGTAAGGTCAACTAAAATGAATAAAAACAATATGAAACCCCAAGTCAGGTATTCATATAAAATACTGTCATACTGAAATTTTGTGAAGCTTTATTTTTTCCATCATAAAAAGGCATATATTTCTAAGTATAGAAATCTGCAAAAGCCTATTCAGCAGCAAAGATGAAACTCCTACAAACACTCCATAAGTGAGAAATAGCCAAAATATTCAGCCACTTGTTGAGGCTCTCTCTAGTCTTTATCTAGTCTTGCTGTCAATCAGAGCAGAGTGAAAGGAAATCATGGCTGAAATGGTGAACAAGAAGTCCTGTTTCTGCAGGAGAGAGGGAGAAAAATGGCAACTACATATATCTATATGTCTGTATCTATCTACATATATCTATGAAACCACCTCCCTACCTGTGCACACTGAGTTTCATCTGTAGTAAACCCTTCTATGAAATACTTTCTAAAATACAGAAAGAAGAATTCTCTCTGTATAAACATACATGGATACATACACATATGCCTTTTGTCAAAATGATTAAATAAGACCTTCCTCGGCCCTGGTTAACACTTGCTTAGCACGTCTAGAGTTAATGTGCGTACCATAATTAGTTAACACTGCTCTGTAGTCACCACTCACTGGCCTCTGGGCAGAGCTATTTTGCTTGTCGCTTATCTGCAATGCTAATGAAAGAATAGCTTTCTAGAGACCAATATAATTTTCAGCGCTGAACACCCCCTTTTTAAAATCTGCCCAAATATCTGACCTGATGATTTCTTATACAGCTTTTGTTTTCATATTTTTCTAGGATTGTGTTTCCCAAATGTGATTATGCTATCTTTATTCTTTAGACAAAATGACACTAATTCTTATTAAATGCTACTTGTTTTTATGTACTCTTTGAAGATGATACTGTGCTTTCTTGTGTATATATATATATATATGAAGGTGGTTTTTTTGTTTTGTTTTGTTTTGTTTTGTTTTGCTGTGGTAAGTGGTGGTAGAAAATATGTGCCTTTGGCCTGGGTTATTGATTACCTGGTTAAAGCACCCTTAATTGTACAGAGTATTTCTTCTCAAGACAGATACACTGAGGCTGTAGCTCTATGGTAGAGCATTTGTTTAGCATGCAGAAGGCTCTGCTTTCCATCCCTTGTATTGTCAAAAAATGAAGGCTCAAGACTGAGCCCATAGCTTACAGTACTGAGCCAGCAATGAATATGTTGTGGAAATACTGTAAATGTTGAGTGACCTTTCAAAGGAAATGCTTCTCTTAATGAAGTATTATTGGCCATTTAACCAAATTCTGAAATGATTGACTGATTCATGTAATTTTATTTTATGGCTATAATATACATCTTTAAGGTATCTTACTTGCCTCCCAAAGAATATCATTACTCAGGATTACAGTAAAGCTCAGTACCAAACTGTTTGTTAAATTTTAAGAAATTCTTGGCCAGGTGTGGTGGCACATGCCTATGATCCCAGTATTTGGGAGGGTGAGACAGGAATATTGCTGTAAGTCTGAGGCCAGGGTGGGCTACAAAATGAGTTCAAGACCATCTTGAACTGCATAGTGAAACCCTGTTTCAAAAAGACAGAAAAATATATCCATAGACATTCTTGTTATATTAGAGGTATTATTACAAAATGAGTACTTCAGATGTGGAATAAACATCCCATAGCACAGTTGAATTCGTAATGTTTTGCAGCAGCTGAAGTTGAACTCTTAAACTGGAGCTAATGCAATACTTAACAGGTTTTAATAAGCTTATTATAAATGGCTGAAAAGGGAGGGGGGAAATTGAGGCAATCACAGATACAAAAGAATGCTACAAATTTTGGTCTCCTTTAATTTTGTTTTCCCAAGAAGGACTGTGTGAAATCAGTGTGTATTTTATTTCCCCAAAATGAAGAGATTTGAAACTTACTTTGAGCCAACTTTTGGGCTTGAATTGAATTTAAACCCTGATTTCTTTCTAGAGAATTACAGGTTGCAGAACTACAATTAAGTGGCTCATGAAAAACCTACCCCACCTTCACTCCTGAGAGACTAGATTCTCTTTCAGCTCCTTAAAGGATGCAGGTCATACATAAAATGAAATTAGAATGTGCTTGGAATATATTAAACCAAGCAGCTCAACTGTTGAGGCACTTGAATTCCTTAGGGACTTTAGTCTGCAAGATTTTCCTGTCTACGGGCATTTCAGGTAGAGTTCTTAGAGATACCTCACCTGGGGAGACTCAGACCAGCCTCAGCAAATAGATGTTTGGACCCTCCTGTGCATAACAGCCTCTATTTGCTAAAAGTGTATTTTCACAACTTGTTCTAATTCAAGAAATAAGAATGTCCTCACTTGCAAGTGATTCACAGTTCTCTAAGCACCTTAATGTATATTAATTCATTGAATCCTCACACCAACCTTTTGGTAAGAGAAAAATGAGAAATTATAGTGAAAGGTTGAATTCAAGTGGTCAAATCCCTTGTAAGTCTGTGGTTCTGTCTTTTACCTCCTCATCAAAATATAAATAGTTTATTTTTGAAAGAGGGAAATGAAGCCTGGGGATTTTTTCTGCTTGTCATACAGAATAGGAAGTTGTATTGTTAGATAAGAAGAAGGAACATATGGGAGAACATTGATCTGGTGGAATAAATGAACGCTGGGCAAGTGAGCTCCATAGAAAGCATTGAGCAGTGGAGTGTTTCTGATGTATGGAAAATACGCTTCCAAACTGTGATAAATGAAAATACCTAGGAAAACCCAGTCCCTTCAGACTTCCAGGTCCTACAAGTTGTTTTTCTTGCCATGCTTTACACATTTGCCTTATGAGTTTACCAGAAGAATTTTATTAATAATAATTAGTGATTTATCTCTTCTGAGGAATTGTCCCATAGCACAGGTCAATTTTGAATTGAGCATTTCTACTTCAAGTCTGTGCTTATTCTGGTTTTTGTGTATTTTTATACAAGTGTCTTTGGGAGTTAAATTAATTTTGTAATTCCAGTTTCCATAAAGACTGTTTGAAAGCATATAATTATCAAGTTATAACTTTTACATGAATTATAATTTTTTTTTGTTTTACATTGCTACATGATTCCTTAGTTGCTTCTGAAGCAAGGTTTGATGTGTTATAACAATGCTTAGCAAATGTTCAGAATTCATATAAAAACACATATTTAATCTGGTAACCCTTGATGAAATCCCTGTATAATATGCTGGAGGCTCATTTGATTTCAGCTGTAGTTACAAGCATGAACTTAACCCTTGATGAAATGTTTGTTGTGGAAAACGTTAAGATCGTATTAGTAAAACACTTCGTCATCTCTTAAAAGCTAAAAGACCTTTAAAGTCTAGATTTGGAAGATAATGTTGTTCCAGTGCAATAAAGAAATGTTTAGGAGGATCAAGCCATGGTATTAAAGATAGGGTTAAATATATGAAAATTTAACACAAGAGTCCCGTGTTTCTTAAACAACAGGACTGAGAAAGCTGCAGCCCTGCTGGGTGATGCGTACCTGTGATCCCAGCATTCCAGAGGCTAAGGCAAGAGATTACTGCAAGTTAGTTTGGCCTGTATAATGGGTTCAAGACCAGCCCAAATGACATAGAGCCTGTCTCAACAACAAAACAAAGAGAGCTTATGGTTTCCATGCTTGGGAAAATAAATTTGTTAGATTTGTAGTATCAGTTATAACTGTGAACTAGATTTAGCAAGGAACTTCCACAAAGGAGGTCAGTGTGTCTTCATTTTGTTTTGAAAAGGCCTTTATAGCAAGGTGAACTCCATGCAACTCTGTAATCTCTAAGAATGAGCATCAGACAAACCTATAATTTTAACCTTGAGCCATGAAGAAATTACTTAACCTCTTTGTTACAATTCTTTTTTCAATTTGAAAATCATGCTACTGTGAGCTGTTATGTAAGTTAAGAAGTTAATATACATTTACAAAATGCCCAACACATAATAACCAACTAATATATGTCAGCCTTTATTATTATAATTATTAAAAGTATATAAGAATTTAATTTTGTGTATGTGAGAGCTGTGTGCTTGCAGGCAAGCGGTTCTTCTGCATGAGACGAGCCCAGTTCCCACCATTCAGGACCAAAGGAGAGTTTGTTTTGTATAACCTGAAAATATGATTTGATGAATTTAGCAATCTATGAAGAATCAGAAAAATACAGTTTTTATGGGAAATGTGTGTTCTGCTGCACAATTTCAGTGAAATGAAAAGCAGACCGTAGTGCTGCACTCGTCCGCCTAGGAGAGGGTGGATCGCAGAAGCTCCCAATCCTAACGACTTCCCTGGCGCCGTGGTAATAATGGAGTAGTGCACCTCACCTTGATAAAAGCTATTCAGAAGGCAGCTGCCTTTATTTTACCTACCTCCTGTGCTATTTACGGAGAAGAGCTGAAGAGTAGTTTGTTTTGCCTGGAACGAACTACTTTATGAATTTTAATGTGTGATATAATATTAAAAGCTAAACCCGGATTAAAGGTTTTTTTTTCTTTTTCTTTTTTTCCTGGTACTAAGCTAAAATAGTACTTAGTAGAGTGAGATACAAAGATTTTTGTTTCCATTTTTACCTGGGGAAAAACTCGGCTGTCATAGTTTGAAAAGCTGTCCGAGTCAGTTACCCTTAAGCAATAGCTTAAGGTTAGAGGGGGGAAATGTGATTCCAGAAATCTAATAGCTTATCTACGATAAGATGCGTATCTGGGCCCAGAAGATGATAAAGAGGAGCTTTTCTAAGTATTTTCTAAATGAGTAATTCAGACAGAAACTTTCTAACAACGTTTTTTAAAGTTTTTGTCCTCCCTTCCTCCTTCCTCTTCCTCTTCCTCTTTTTCTTCCTAATGTTTCGTGCATATTTGTTTTACACTTTGGTTTGTGTTGGCCCCTAAGAAATGAATATTTGTTTTTTGTTTGTCTAGAATTCTTGCTTGTTGGTTCAAGTTGTATTTCCTTTATTAAAAAAGAAATTTTTAGAAACAGAATCCCAGAGTTGAAACAGATGATTGTAGCCCACCTCAATGATAAATTTTCCAATGTAATTTTCACAGAAGAATGAAAATTGCATAAAAAGAGACCAATTTTCCAAATCTGTTCTTAACTGTCACTAAGTAGATTGCTACTAGGAAACTGTTTCTTCCAAGGCTCTGGACTTTATTCCTCAATTAACATGACATTGGATTTTCAAAGCAATTGAAATGCCCTTTTTTCTTTCATTTAAGCAGTGAGAAAAATAGGTATTGAAAGGTGCCCTGTGGGGTGGTCAGATCTATCCCTCTGCTGCAAAGCAAGACCACCCCAGAACAACATTTCAGATCTCCCCAAAGCAACCTTGTAGGCAATTTATGGTAATAGGGTTAACTCTTCTAGCTCCTAAAGTGGTATTTAGCAGATTATTGCTCCAAAGCCCACTTCTCAGTGGCCTTGTCATTAATACCCAGTGCCCTTGCTTCCTAGACTCCCAGAGCTGGAAAAGAGCTCTGGAAATGTGACCTAGCCTCTTGCAGTCCACCTCCAGGTGATAGTGTAAGGGAGCCAGTGAGGCACTATTACCTGCCATGTGGTCTTCAGGACTGCGGTCCAACCACCACACTGCCCTGTCCTTTCCCTTAGGGGGTGATGTCAGGGTGGAATACGCTTCAGGATGGACAAGAGGCACAATGTTTTCTGGACTAGAAATTAGAAAAATTCAGAAAGTACATTCATTACAAAGGAGGTTCACATTTATTCTTGAGTACTGAATTTTCTGAGATAACATCTGTATTATTTTCTAGACAGATGTTTTGAGGACAGAGTGAAATAAAACTACAAAAACTTACAGTTTGATTAGAGATGTGTTAGTGCCGAAAAAGCATCCTTTTATCCTAAAATGCACCTAGTTTTCTGTTGTACATAGTTTGTTAGAATTTTTAATAATCAGAAAGGCTCTAGAATACAGAAACATAAATGACACCAAGAAGTGAGGTCCTCAGTGAATTTATGGGGAAAAGTATAGCCCTGAATCTGTAGTAATCCTTTACTTCCACTTTTACGAATTTCTCAGTTAAAAAGATGATCTACATAGTTCACATGTGTATTCAAGGCTAGTTTATATAAGTGCATCATAAAAATTAAAGTTGGAGTTAAAAAATACTAGTGATATCAAATTTTGATATGGTTTCATTTTCTCCCTAAAATTTTGTGGCATTTTTCTGCCGATAACTGTTTTTCATTACTGTGCAGGGCATCAGTACTAATCTTGCACTCAGGATTATATGATGATACAGTTTGTTATAATAATGTTCTATTAAATGTTGTGAAACATTTTCTTATTGTCTGGTTCCACAAGTCAAAAGGAAATAGTTGTATACAAGAGTGCCAGGAAAAGATGAAATAATTATACAGAACAGCTTGGACATGCACGTGTAAAATGCAACCAGCCTTTATGATAATTAAGCAAGGCAGTCTACCTGTTTCATGGATGGATAGAAGATTTAAATATGCAGTTCTGCAAATGGCTTTGTTATGGAAGATTTTTAAAATGAAGCATAAGAGGAAAAGGCATAAAAGAGTCTAAAATTAAAAAGGCCATAGTATATAATAGCTATTAGTGATGCAATTGTCTATTAGGCACCGGGCACCCAGTGAAGATATGGCATCGTGCGTTATGATTTTAATTGTGAATTTCCGTTGTTAGGATTGCAATGGAAGGTAATTGGGAGACAATTAGTTTAGGGTTTTCAAGTCTTTGAAACTATTCTGTTTTCCAGAAAACTTACTTTATGGCATTATAATTCCTGGTTGTCAGCTGGCAGTTGCTGTCACATTACAGATGCAATCATCTGTGACAATGTGACTTCCTTAACTTAACCAATCTGATCTCAGGGCAATAAGTAATGTTGAATGACTGTACTGTTGATCACCTTGATCATAAAAGGAGCAACAGTGTCTAGTTTGGATGCTGAGCCTGAGAAGCTTCAAAACAATTTGGCCAATGAAAAATGACAGCCATATTCAAAACTGTTTTGTAGGTGAAAACAGCTACAATTGCCTCTGAGAGGAATGGGAAACCAGAGAACAATACCATGAACATTAATGCTTCCATTTATGATGAGATTCAGCAGGAAATGAAGCGTGCTAAAGTGTCCCAAGCACTGTTTGCAAAGGTTGCAGCAACCAAAAGCCAGGTAAGAGCCTCTGTGTGGCATTGCAAGTATTTATCTTCGATGCCTATGGAGTTTTCATTAACAGAGGTATCGATTTGGACATGGACCGGGATTACTGAGAGGTCGTAATCCCTGGGATTATGTGTAACTTCTCAGATGAAATAGTTGCTTTTGTTTCCTTTCAACGGCCACTTCCAAATTAGGGATTTATCTGTCAGTCAGTGAACAGCTGCTTTCAGAAGAGTAACAATGCAGAGAAAGTTTCATAGAAAAAGTTACTTTTGTTTCATTGTTAGGTGGATCATAATTTTCATTGTAAAATAGGACATACAGTTTCTTCTGTTCGAACCTATTGCAACAAACTTCACACACCTTTATATATTAGTGATAGCTTTTACATAGACATAAATAAGATGCATAAATTGAATTAGCACTAGGAACTTTGTACAGCTCAGTTGAATTACTGAGTAGACTTGAGTCGGGCAAGTTGCAGATCTCTGCGAAACAAGATAAAAGCAAAGGATGCTTACTGCGGCCTCTGTCGGTTTAACTGTCACATGCTGATAATTTTTATTCATTAAAAGTAGAATCATCTGTAAGAACAAACTTCTAGCTGCCTATAAACCCTTCTTCAAGAATACTTTTTAAAGGATCAGAAGAATACTAAGTTTTCTTCCCCTGCAAAGGATTTGATAACACTACCAAGGTGAGATTTAGAGGCAATCAAGGGCTCCAGGTGAGATTTGAACAACTTGAAATTGTACACAAGTATATTTTCATTATTATTAATGGGCCCTCTTTTGCCTAACATCCTGGCTGTTGTCAGTCTGTGATAAAATATATAATTCTGGGAGTATTTATGACACAGTGTATTTATAACACTAACCTTTGTAGCTTTTTAAAAATTGTACTTGATCAAACTTAATGGTCGTGCTTAATGGGAGTTTTACTTCAGAAAAATGTTCTTGTTTAAGTTATAGGCTGGATGAAGTACTTAAGGGATATCTTGGAAATGTTATATAAAAATGATTAAACTCAAGCTGTGGACTGTAAAAATTATAGCTTTATAGGCCACATGCCTGCCTACCCTTCAATCACTGTCAAAGTGATAATTTCTACAATAATATGTTTCTTTTATTGTGAGATTCTAAACATCAAGTGCTGTTTAAACATTAAACTGAATTGTTTATGTTAGTGCTGTACTCAGCGTGCCATACATCGGGCCACCGTAATCTCTCATGGAATGTAAAATTCTGTCATGAATCATGGCTTGTATATCGGAAATTACTGTAATTTTGATTGGAAATTACAGGGCTCTTGAAATGTTTCTAATTATGATAGAATGTTAGAGCCGCTTCAAACCTGTGTGCTTCTTCAGATGTCTTCATTTACATGCCAAGACTATGCATTAAGGAGAAATGTCCTGTTCTCACTTTACCCACCCACCCTGCACATTCTTGTTTTGACTATTTAGTCTAATTATGATGAGGATCTCTTATTTAAATATATATTATTTTGCCTTTCTTTCTGATCTTACATCTTTTTTTCTGACCTGTCTAATTAACAGGAATAACAGTGTGCATTCCTACAAGAGCTGAGCACTTTCCCCAAATCTCCAAAACGGGAAAACTAGACATGTGTTACTATAATCGGGTCAGCCTTAAAAACAAAATAAACAAAAATTAATAGTGAGGCTTTTCAGTAAGTAGCATCAGTTACCTGTCACTGTCATTTCATCCACCCGCCCTTCCTCCAGTTTGCTTTTTGATCACAGTGTCCTATGACTAACAGTCCCTTTACTACCTTCAGTCTGATTCTTTTAAAGGATACCCTGCTTTTCTCTCTCTGAGGCTGATTGAGTAACTGTTCAGAAAGCATTAGCAGTTTGTCTGATATGGTACTGTGTATGGTGTCCTGGGAGGTTTTTTTGCCATTTGTGCCTTGTGATTCACAGTGCTCCAAAGTCCCCATTTCAGCAGTGTTGATGGGCAGTTGGTATCACATGATGGTGTGTTTTCCCCAAGACCCCAAGTTTTAATTACTGGTTGAGTGAAAATCCCGGAGGCTAACTACAGGCTGTGGAGTTCTGCAGACTGCTTTCATTCTTTTCAATGGTCCTTCATTCCTGATTTCTGATGTATTCTAACTCCCTAGAAGAGCATTTTTATAGTTTTCTTGTAGTTGTTCAGTTTAAATAGTAAGGTTAGGAAAGTAAGAACAAAGATTGATGATTACTTCAAATAAGATGGGTAAAAACCATGTACATTACCAACAGAAAATTAGGAAGGAAAGGTGGCCATTTACTTACATTATATTCCACTGTGCTATCTTGTGGGGGGAACAAAAGCTAACAAATACCCCCCAAAATAGAATCTTCAAGTCATACTGACCTTTCTCATTTAATTTCTCATAGTCAAACTTGGTAATTTCTAAAATAGTTATCTATGTCCCAAGATGCTGTGTGCAAATTTCCTCAGTTTACACATGAGTGTCACTCAGCTAATAGTGCCAACTCTAAATTGCGTCCCTCAAAATATGTTAGTAATCTCTTGGCTTCAAGGCAGCACCAGTGCAAAGTTACACCAGCTGCAGGGAAGAGGAATTTGAGGATATTGGGGTAGTTGACGGAAGAACAAGCAAGGGCTTTCTTTTCTTCATTGACTTGTTCATTGGACGGAGGTTCATACTGACATGGGGCTCATGGAATCCTGGCGTTTTCCTGGCTGATAGAAGTGAATGTATATGGTGGAAGGGCTGAAGGTGACCAGCTGTGTCTCTGGCACCCACAGTATCAAGAAATTGTTTAAACATGTTGAGCCCAAGATTCTTTTAACATAAGAGGAAGTCATGTGCTGTAATATATACTGAAGCACTTTTAAATTTTATAACACTATGCAGGATTGTATGTCATAACGTGCTCCATAAGTTCAGTCCTCCATAGATATAAGAGACTTATTCATCATGTATTTCTGATACCTTTCATTTAAAAAGTTAAGGTGCTCCGCAATGATTAATGCACAAAATATTTTCAGTAAAAGAAGCTAACTTGTGTAGATTCCACCATTTCACATGTATTACATTCTCTTCGATGAAGAATGGAAATGAGATTGTTTTTACCTCTAATAGAACCGTCTGAATAAAATATGCAACTGAAAACTGAAGGTAGGCTACTTTTTTGCTTGGTTGGGAAAGCAGGCTAATGCAAACTTTAAATAGATGATGTGCTTTAAACATAATGTGAATAGCTACAAATGAATACACTTTATATTCTGGGTATTCAAATAAGCAGCAGTTTTTCCAAGTGAATCATACTGGAATTTTATCAAACATTTAGTCTGATAACATTCAAATAATTATGAGAGCAGAATTTGCTAATTTTACTGTTTAAAAAAATAGTTGATTTGGGTAATAACCATTATGGTATCAAGGTTCAGTTACTGTTCATTGGTTATAGTATTTTCATATGGGAGACGGAAATGGAATTTTTTCCTTAATAGTGGCAGATGTTAGAATCTAATTTTACTCCACAGCAAACCCCTTGAGAGCTCTGAGACGTAAGGTGTGTGTCCAGCAAAGGGACATTAGCAGCGCCGTAGGCCTGGCCTTGTACACCGGATTGTGACATTGGTGTTCATGTTTGCAGGGGTGGAGTCTGCAGATGCAGCAGCACAGTGAGTAGAGGGCTTTCACCACCCCCTGGCACCACCCCCTGTGCTTAGAAAATGCTTTTTCTCTCGTGCTTTATTAACCAGGGTATTTCACGACTGGTTGTGAAGATTTTATTTAACTGAAAATACTTTCAGCACAGTCTTTTGTAATGTCTGGAGTTACAGGACTCCAGCCACTGCAGCTTTGGCTGGATTGACAGGTATGGTTTTCAGCACTAAAATAATGAAAATCCTGTCTTTGCAAAAACAGTACTAGTAGATGAGACCGAGTAATTTAAAACCTTTTTCTTTCTTCCATCTACGTTTTATACACTTCTGTCTTTGAAATTCAGGGTGATTGAGAGAGAATAATTTAGAAGAGTAGGGAGAAATAATATTTCAGTATTCTTTGAGTTTGGAAGTTTAAAAAAAAAAAAGCCACTTAATTCTGTCCTGTAGGTTTGGAAGTTTCTAGATGGTGATTAGAATGTCTTAAATACAACGCAGACTACATCAATCAGTGGGCTAGAAATAAAGCTAAGAATATAATTTTTCTTTTTTTTTGTATTTAGTACAGGGTCTTTAAGGTCTCACTACATAGATCTGACTCATAGTGATTCTCCTGTTTTTAGCCTCCCAAGCGCTGGGATTACAGGCGCACACCACCACGCCTGGTCTCAAGTGCATCTCAGGGTGCCCTGACGGTGGGGCAAGCGTGGCACACAGGGGATTGAACCCCTGCCGCTGCACTCTGCCTACTTTAGTCCAGTGAGCTATCTGGCCGGCCCTAAAAATATAATTTTAGCTTCTGGAAATTAGAATCTATAACAAAATCCTGGAATGAAATCTCTTGTGACTCTGTATTTTGTCTCTTTTAGCATGCTACAGAAGGCACTTTTTATTTTGTTAGTGTTAAATTACATTTCATGGAAGCCACAGGTGGTAGCTACGTGTGTTGATTCCTTCAAAACGAGTGTGTCACACAGGCTGCTGCCCCAGATCTCACCTGGGTAGTGATCTACTCAGGCACAGCCAGGAGCCCTGCAGACCTGAGCATTAGAGCAAGTCCTTTTCCCGCGCTGCAGCCTTTCATAGCGGCCTCGCAGGAGATGTTTGCCTGGTGTCCTAGGATTTTCTTCTGTTGGGCACATGCAGTTCCCTTCAGCTACTATCTGAAGAGAGGTGGTCCCTCCACACACCTCCCTCTGGGCCTTTGTTTTTTAAACTGGGTAGAAGAGACCCTGGGCAGACACAGATCAGGTTTCCTCATTGGTTTTCTTGAAAGAGGAAAGGGCAAGAGGGTAATGTGTGGGGACGAAGGCGTCTAGCCTCAGCCATCTGCCCCGGTTGAGATTAGCAGACATTTTTGGAGTC